TCAACTTAAGTTGTTTCTTTTCTTTCACATCAACTCTTATGATTCGATAATGTCGATAACTACCATCCCAAAAGTTGAATATTTTTTAATGGGAGTTATTTATGGTCAAGAATCTCCTCACGTGCATTTGAGAAAACTTTTGTTTTTTGTTCTCGGAGTACAGGTGACTAATCAACAGATGAACCTGATAATAAATTAGCTAATTAAAAATCTATTATCTTCAATATTCAAAAGACATCCAACACACCTTACTTGACACCCAAACACACCGCTTATGACATTCAAACATGTCTTATATGGCATTCAAATACAACTAATCTGACAGCCAAACACACCGCATGTGACATCCAAAAACACTTTACCTGACATCCAAATACACAGTATCTATCAATATTAAATTGGCATAAAACAAGAGTGCTATAATAGTGAGATATAAATCACTAGTGCGTATTGACATACTAGTATTCAGTAGTAAACGGTACTTGATTTCCTGCAGCTCAACCATATTACATTGCAATGAACAAACATGTAACAATGTTGGTAAAAACACTTAGGAGAGACTGAACATAACTTTCCTTAAGGAAGACCATTCCCTTTATCGTCCACAATCCGATAAAATACAACTGTGATATTACGAATCCAAATGTTCTAAAAACATCGGTTATTACTATTGTTAACATAGAGCACAGCTGCTCTAAAACATAGCAGCTGTGCTCTATGTTAACAATAGTAATAACCGATAAAAACATCGATTATTACTATTGTTAACATATGACACAGCTGCTCTAAAACATCGGTTATTACTATTGTTAACATATGACACAGCTGCTCTAAAACATCCGTTATTACTATTGTTGACATAGAGCACAACTGCTCTAGAAACATCAGTTATTACTATTGTTGACATAGAGAACAGCTGCTCTAAAACATCGATTATTACTATTGTTGACATAGAGCACAGGTGCTCTAAAAACATCCGTTATTACTATTGTTGACATAGAGAGAACATAAACATAGGGCCGGCATGGCCAGGTGGTTAAGGCACTCGACTCGCAATCTGAGGGTCACGGGTTCGAATCCCCTTCCTACCAAACACGCTCGCCCTTTCAGCCGTGGGGGGCGTTATATGTGACGGTCAATCCCACTATTCGTTGGTAAAAGAGTAGCCCAAGTGTTGGCGGTGGGTGGTGATGACTAGCTGCCTTCCCTCTAGTCTTACACTGCTAAATTAGGGACGGCTAGCGCAGATAGCCCTCGTGTAGCTTTGCGCGAAATTCAAGAAAACAAACAAAACATAAACATAGATCACGTAGTTCCAGAGTAAGGTCCAAACTTCTCAATTGTAGTCGTTAGGGGAATAAATCACGTTTTTCGATAAGCTAAGGCTGTGGTGATCGAGTATCAATCGTTGTCATAGTTACGAGTCTATGCAACTATCTACGTCTAATTATTGCAAAAAAAAAATCACTTCACAGTATATATTGATCGGTTTGATGTATCCAACATAATCACAAACTAACCCTTGAAACACCACAGATATTCTGCCAACAGTTTGAAAATGAGCCCTCGGGGAACAAACCCTACTGACAATGTACACGATAATAGACATCTCAGCCTTCTATATCAATATAACTTATTTTCAACAGGAAAATAGCTACTATCAATAACAAAAAGAAGGCCTAGCCGTCGGCTCACCACTATCACCAGTACTAAGTAACATCTAAGTGGAACATTTCTAAGATAACACTCTAAAAAAATCGGTTAAAATACCCAGATTTTGGCTGAGATACGTTAACGAAACATCACTAATATGGCCACACATTACAGACAAGGTTGTAGAATTCATGAACCATGCGAACACATAACGTCCCGTGATACAATTCGCAGTGAAAATAGAAGATAAACTCGCATTCTTAGAAGGGATGGTTACCATGATATACTCATGTATATATACCCCGAATGTAGACAATGTTATTTCTGGTTTTTTTACGAATATTAATATAACTACAAACTTTTGATCAAGAATTAGGCACGGTTATATTCGCTTTTCTTTGGGAATATTAATGCAACTACAAACCTTTGATCAAGAATGAGAAACGGTTATTTTTGGATTTCTTTATGAATATTAACATAATTACAAGCTTTTGATCTAGAATTAGGCACAGTCATATTTGGTTTTATTTGGGAATATTAGTGCAACTACAAACCTTTGATCAAGAATGAGAAACGGTTATTTTTGGATTTCTTTATGAATATTAACGTAACTACAAGCTTTTGATCTAGAATAAGGCAGGCTATTTGTAGATTTCTTTGTGAATATTAATATATATATATATATAAACTTTTGATACTGAATACAGACAAAATTACTTCTTTAATATACACAACCACGTCCTCTTTATTAAATATGTATTTCATGTTCTTATTACACTCTCCGTTTTATAATATAACGTTTCTTCATTATCTCTTTCTCAATAAGATTGATTTATCTACATATATATATCAATAAGATTGATTTATATACATATATATCTCAATAAGATTGATTTATATACATATATATCTCAATAAGATTGATTTATAAATCTCAATAAGATTGATTTATATATCTCAATAAGATTGATTTATATATCTATTGGTAGTGTAACGATGCCTCTTTAACAAAAATAACCAAGATTAAACCCACGGTATTAGATGAAAAGATTTCCTACTCCTCAATGAGCGCGAGGTATTCACCAGTGAATAATACAACCACAATTAACTCGTACAATGTGTATTGTCACGTCTTCTTCGCTTTGTGTCACGTCATTGTAACACTTATCAAGCACGAAATGAATCTTTTGTTAACGTAGTACTTAAAAGATTATAATTAATTTTACTTTAATATTCATTTAATAGACGCGTTGGTGTCTAAATTACTGCACCAATTATCGGCACCATTCTTTTGTATTGTTAACTGCTTTATAGATAGAGTTATAAAAATCAGTCCTTGACACTAGAAGAGGTAACACAGGAACATACAATGTATAATCATGCAATATTTAGCCATGTTTCATGTATCGATGCTAATAATATCTGGTTTAGCTTTGAGTTATTTTCGTGATTCATAAATTTTATCAGTTCGGTCAAGTACGGGGATCTTTAGTAACTGACCATACAATGAGTAGTGTCTACTTAGTTCAGCATAACATTACGTTGCAAGCATTGATTCACAGCTAATCAAGCAGCATAACATTATGTCACATACGTAACTAGTAGCTATCCAGACCAACTTTATGTGTATTAAACTAACATATTAACACTACCATCTATATTTATCATAATCTGTGTCGTAGACTGAGCTACACATATAATTTTATCTTATTATTAAATGTAATTAAAAATAAACTATCCAGATCAATATAAAACGTTTTAAAGCCCCCTGCCGTCCCGCAAGCTTGGCTGTACGTCTGAGGACTTAAAACGCTAAATGTCAAGTTTGATTACTCGCGATGGGCACAGCATATATAGTTCATTGTGTAACTTTAGACTTACTAAAAACAAACAAACTGACGTTTTAAAATTAAACTTAGCTACCCATGGTCAGTATATAATTACTATATAATATGACCGTAGAGATTATATCAAAACGAAAATTTCTTTATCGAAAACTTAGTTACACAAGTCAACATCATTTTTCGTTATCCTTGTTACAGACTCGAATATTCAGGATAAATAAAAACAAAAACTATATATTTCTATCAAATGTTAACATAGCCGTTCCAGCATATTTTATTATAGACTTCAGATTGTCCCCCAGTGGGTCAGTTTAATTCCACAGACTTTCATCGCAAAAATCCGGGATTCGATTCTCGGCGGTGGACAGAGTGCAGATAGCTCATTGAGTTGGACCAAGATAACAAGACCCCCAGATGCTAAGTGACCTAGACAGACGTATCATTTTGTATCGAATTTTCAGTAACTTCCATATAGTACATTAATATCTGTGCTGGAAGCTTATCTACGTTTTTTTACAAAAGATATCCAAATTTGCATATCTTCTAATTATCCTCTATTTAAATCAGCATCCTATCTTATGATATAATTGTATTCTCTGTATTAAAGTTCATATATCAAGATCACTTTATCGTCCATTAAAGAAGGTAAATCAAACATACTTCAATTACTCGGTAGAAGTAAAGAGAAACAGAGAGAGAAATATTTACTTAAAATGTTTAATTATAAGTTCTACATTAGTGAAGTTACTTTTAAGACTCAGTATTCTATAAATGGTTCTATACGCTATGTGTTGGAATAGCTATTAAAGTATTAGTGATATCCATTAAGATGCACTTAGCCATGACGTGTAACAATGTCATCGGTTGTTACCACTGTTACCTTGTAAATCATTTGTAGTTGAATGGTAAAGACAAGGAATTGTATTAGGCTTACGATAAGAATATAATAATATTTATGAATCTTCATTTTACTTGAACGACGTTTATTGGTGATATCTTGACAGGACTAGTTTTCTGTTTCCTTATTCCGACACTTTGTTGCCATCCATCTATTTCACTTTTAAAGAGCAGCGTACCAATGACTTTACAACTAGCTAACATTTCATGTTGGCTGTCACTCATCCAAGAAAATTACCTCTGAGGAGGAAATGATTGGTCAAACCCCAGGTGATCTTCCGATGTGTAAACAATTTTCTTATCATGGCTCAAGTTTGAATATAATAAATATTTCACCAACAGATGCCACAGATTTACTTACAAGTTCTTATAGCACCATACTTCCTTCAGCATTCATCGGTCTTTCTTCATCAGCTTCTTCTTTAATATAGGATGCAAAATAGTCTAAACTAGTATTAATGATGAAGTTAATGCTTTATTTCATTGGTTGATTCCAGAGGGGTGAGTGTACAGAAATAAAATATGGATTAAACAGACAAATATGTGCATAAACTAGTGGAGAAAGTAATAATATGTCCAAAAAACTTATAAACAGGATATACTAACCTCTCATGAGCACAAATATAAATAAAAGAAAATCCAAGGAAGAGGTATTTTGTTGCTGGAAGTTGAACCATCTCCGAAAATCCATGCCGTATGTAGACTTTCTACTCAGTCTAGCCTTTAGTATGTTACGAAATATCAGAACATCAGTTAATCAGAGTGAATCAAATATCTTGTGAGAGGTGCTTCTTCACCTGGTGGAATAGAAGTGAAATAAAGTTTAAGACGGTGAAAAGGAGAACATACAGTGGTTAAGGCTGATATGTACTTTAAACTACTCAATTAATAAAGAACATTGTGCTTGGAGTAAAATGTTATCATTATTCAAATTCGATAAGTTAATAAGTATATTCGACGAATGAAATATTTACATGTTTAAACTACCGAATTACTTATATCAAATAAACTTACATTTTACATTCTATTAATAATTAATATTAATATTTTATATTTAATTTTATTCCTATAGTTTAAGTACTCCAGTGGAACAGCGCTAAGTCTATGGACTTACAACGCTAAAATCCGGGGTTCTATTTCCCACGGTGGACACAGCAGATAGCCCAACGTGACTTTGTTCTAAAACAGAATAAACAAACAACTTTATGTCCAAAAATGAAGAAATACCCTCAGTAGTGTAAACTCTAAAAGTCTCATCCAAGTAATATGTATCCCGAATGTCTGATTAAATAGCACATTTATAAACAATTTTCTAAGAGTTGTCAAAGAAACTTAGAAGGTGGAAGTTTATGCAACCCATGGAATAAAGGGCCAGGTCATAGGTCAGAAATATTCATCTCCACTGAGACTATGTCACAGTCATTCAGCGGCACCCTCCGCCTACACATCTACTCTTAACCAAATAGCAGGAGTGCTGCCACTTTTATGACTCATCTGAAAGTGCAGAGTGATATATAACGGGATCAAAACCACTCTATGGAACCCTGGTTAAATGGTTAGTTATGTCTATTTCCTAGCACCCGTTCTAACGAATCCTGGTTAAATGATTAGTTATGTCTACTTCCTAGTACCCGTTTTATAGAACCCTGGTTAAATGGCTAGTTATGTCTATCGCCTAGCACCCACTTTATAGAACCCTGTTTAACTAGTTAGTTATGTCTATTTCCTAGTACCCGTTCTATAGAACCTTGGTTAAATGGCTAGTTATGCCTATTTCCTAGTACCCGTTCTATAGAACCTTGGTTAAATGGCTAGTTATGCCTATTTCCTAGCACCCGTTGTATAGAACCCTGTTTAAATGGCTAGTTATGCCTATTTCCTAGCACCCGTTGTATAGAACCCTGGTTAAATGGCTAGTTATGCATATTTCCTAGCACCCGTTGTATAGAACCTTGGTTAAATGGCTAGTTATGCCTATTTCCTAGCACCCGTTCTATAGAACCCTGTTTAAATGGCTAGTTATGCCTATTTCCTAGCACCCGTTCTATAGAACCCTGGTTAAATGGCTAGTTATGCCTAGAGTGGCACAAAGTAAGAGCGTGCCGTGTCAGCTGGAATGCATACACACGTGTAGGTGCTCACACTTATTACCGTTTTCTACGCCAGTTCTCTGTCGTCATCCATTCTCTGCTACATGTTCCTTTACTCAGAGAAAATTGGATTAAAAGGAACTTCCTTGTCTATTAAAAGGAAAAGGAATTTCAATCTTAGCTAAAACTATAATTATACATTTTACAAAGCCTAATTACTCCACACTTTACTTCTTGACACGACATTATACATTAAGAAAGTGAAGTTATAAGTATCAAAAGCGTAATATTTCTTTTTATAATGCTTCGGAATGGTATATATATATTTATGTATAAAGGTTTGTTTGTTTGT